TCTTTCTGTGACCCCGAGGGTCCTGAGACCACACTGTCCCGCGAGGGTTCCATCCCCCACTTAGCCACTGGAGCGACGTCCCTCAGTGGAGCTGGCTTCTAAAAGTTCCGATTTTGTCCTCCTGGGCTCTATCTCTTGCCAGAAGTGGCGGAGGCCCCCTCCCCCACCGTCTATCCTCCCGAATATTGCCTCGGATTCACTTCTCTGCACGTTCTACCTTCCAGAAAGTGGTCGCTTCTCTGTTCAGAGAGTTGTTGCTACTCTCTTCTTTGGTCTCCTGTTGAGTTCGTATGTGTTCAGAATCGTTTGATCCCTATTCAGCTGAATTCCTGAGACCAGATGAAATCCAGGTCTCCTACTCCTCCGCCATCTTGCTCCACCCCCTCTTTGTTTTCCTAAATTTTTAAGTCAGAGAGTAACTAGGAAAGCACAGAATCATGTGTGCAGAGAGGCTCCCTGGGGCGGGGGGGGGGAACTTCTCTATAAAGATGAATCCTGACAGGAAACCTGCACTTAACCTCCATCTGCAGCTGCGCCTGGGGCTTAAATACAGTACTGGTGAGTACTGTGCACGCCCTGGTGGTCCAGATCCACTTCTGTGAGCTTTGTATCTGGGCTCACAGTGATTTCCCTCACTGTGTCCTTTGCACGGTATACACAGCTGTGTCCTCAGCTCTCAGGCTGCTCATCTGCAGATACAGCATGTTCTTGCACTGGTTGCTGGAGATGGTAAATCGGCCCTTCATAGAGTCTGTGGCATATATGTAACTTCCACCACTGCTAATACCTGCATCCACCTGCAGCCCCTTCCCTGGAGCCTGGCAAACCCAGCACATGGCATAGCTACTGAAGGTGAATCCAGATGCTACACAGGAGAGTCTCAAGGAACTGCCAGGCTTCACCAGGTCTCCCCCAGACTCCACCAGGTGCCCCTCACACTAGACACCGGCAGATACAGCATCCTGGTCAGGATAATGTCACACATCCCATGTTTTTCTCACTCATATCCACCACATACTCATTGTCTCTTATCCACATAAATTACCTTTGAAAAGAGCAGCAAGAAAACCCAACCAAGCACAGAATTCATGGTGAGTTGTCTGTGTTCTGTCCTGATCACTGAATGGTTCCACCAGAGATCCCAGGGCTGGGGCTCCACTCCCACTGCAGGATCCAGGCTGGGCAGGTTTAAATCAGCAAAGGGAGGACGCTATTGGCATGTCATTTGATTATAGAGAAAATTTGGCAGGTAACATCCTTAAGATGGCAGACACTCAGAGCAGGTGTGAGGGTCCTGGCAGAATATTGTATACATGATATCTCCCAGAAAAATGTTCTTCCTCCTTTTGTGATTTTGCTGAGGTCATTATTAGCACACATTTTATTCCTTGTTTCCACATATGCACCCCAAACATGTAATGTAGGTACAAATTTATCACCATTTTACAGGTGGATACATACACACTGCAGCACAGACAGACTTCTCAGTGTCCACGAGCACACAGCAAGTGAGAATGAGCCTGTGTCTTGGCCTGTGTTCCCTACCACCGGACCTGCCTGCTCCTCTGAACCACCTCCAGGTCAGAAGTGGTCATATGTAGTGAGGTTTGCAGTCTTCCTGAGTTTCAAGATTCCCAAAAAGACTGAGAGTTGGTGACCACATTTTTGTCTCAGAAACTTGGAGACACTGAGACTCTGAGAGAGAGAGAGAGAGAGAGAGAGAATCACAGAGCTGATGAAGATGCTGTGGGTTTTCAACAGACACAAGGGGCATTACACATGTTGTCTCTGTACATCTCCATCGAAATCCTCAGTAAAATAAAATGGTGGAATCAGTAAACAATGAAACTCAGAACACCTGAGATCAGAATGGATGCTGTTATTTAGGGAAGTTTCCTCCTCTATGAAATGGAGATCATTCTATTCTAATCTCACAGTCATTGCCATGATCACACAAATTAAACTTTTCCCTTTACCTGGCACTTCACAAATTTGGGTCTTAACATTATGAGGATTGATTCTAAGAAAGGAAGATACTTCTGTTTCAACAGCTTTTCCATACTGTTTACTGTGTTTGTGTCAGGAAGAAGTTTGCAGGGCATGGAGCTGAAAACCCTTGCAAGGAGATCATTCCTCTACCAATCACTTGTCCTGGATCATGAGCTCCATGGTTCCTGAGTTTCCCTGGTGGTTGTGAGCGCCCCCTGATGGTCCCAGTGACTTGTTGGTGTCACAGACCTCTGCAGAGTTTCAGGGACTCCTTTTCCCCCTTCCCCATTTATCCAACATGCAATTAGAGACCCTCCCATCGTGAGCACTACAGACCCTCCTTTCCAGAGGATGTCTCCTTCTACCTGTAGCCCATCTTTCACCCCTCAGTAGGCTCCTTGTCTGTAAATACTCAGCTATAATTTTCTATATTCAGAGGTGAGCAGGAATCCTGCAACAAGACTTCCTTATCAGTCTCCGACTATCAGAGGATGATTTTAATAGCAGACAGAAGAAAATGAAAGATTTCTGGACTCACAAATTCCGCTGACAAGAAACAGGCTGATGCACACCTTCAAAGGTGTGCCAGCTTCCAACAAAAAGGATGGGTTGATCTAAGACCAAAAAGGCCAGAAGCTTAAGTCTGAGAAAAATATTCTCAGGCTCTAAAACCTAAGGGGTTTGTCAAGATGGGTATAGAAATACTTTAGGGTTAGTGACAGCTTTGTAAATTACACTTTATTGTTTTTGAACAGGAAGGTGAGTACCTGCCATCACTTGCTTGCCCTACAATTGTATTTTATGGAAAGAAATGTATTTTATGGAAAGAAATGCTTTTCTTTTTATTTTTTAATATTTTTTATTATGAAGATGCAGCCCATATATACAACGGAATATTACTCAGCCATCAGAAAGGATGAATACACAACATTTGCGTCAACATGGATGGAACTGGAGGAAACTATGCTAAGTGAACTAAGTCAAACAGAGAAAGACAATTATAAAATGGTTTCACTTCTTTGTGGAACATAGGGAGTAGCATGGAGGACATAAGGAGAAGGAAGGGGAAAATGAAGGGGGGCGGGAATTAGGGGGAAAAGAAATGTTTTGCGCTATCACAGGTGTATTGATGAAGAGCTTTTTACCGCCAGATGGAAGTAACCCACTGTCTCACTATACCTGACCTATATGTTGAGATTTGAGCTTTAGAGGTGATGATACTTAGGTGATGATCTTGATATTACCACTATATGGGTAAGTCTGGGGCTGGAGCTCAGGACAGACAAGGGCAGTCACGTCCTGTCCATCTTGGGCCTGCAAATAGGAGCCCTGAAGACTCACACATTTAGGAGGAGACCCCTTTTGAATCAGAGCTTGAAAGGCTCATCAACATGTGCAGCCACATTCTTATATAATATCCGTGACTCCTGATTCTGAGAGTCTAATGAACCCTGATGGATACACATGGATGAATCAAACACCCCATGAGGTCCAGAGAGATTTTGTAGGTAACAGCAAGGAAAGACACATAGAGGAGTCATTGCCATTGAAAGAACACTTCTGGGCCTGGTGTTCACCCATACTCTGCAGCCATGTTTGCAGGATGTAGAACACCAGCGAGTGGAGGGTGGAGGCAGCCCTACAAACTGGGCTGTGAGATGCAAGAGCAGAACCCATGCTCACCTGAAAGGCTGAGGGTGATGAGACCCAAGGGGCGTGCAACAGGAGGTCCCTCACCTGAAGTATTACAAGAAGTTTCCTTCTATTTGTGTCCTAAAGCCTCTGAGGTCTTTGCCTTCACGTGTTATATTGTCACAGGTTCTATTGTATGGGAAATGTAGCCTCTCTCAGTAAAGTGAGGGTCAACTCCTTCTCCTGGTAGGGCTTGACCTAGTGACCATGTCTCTGGTATAAATCTCTGCTCCATCTTCTGAGAGTGAAGGGAAAGGTCCCCTTTGCATGCAGCTAAAATCTGAATTTGTGCCCACAGTTGTTCCCAATTATGAAATTGCTATTGGTCTGAGAATTCTCTTCAGAAGCAGGTCCTGGAATTCCTGGGTGGTGCCAGGTGGTGAAGAGCAGGGGAAGAGCACATGGTACACAGGCATCTTCAAGCTTGGGCTTGTTCCCTGCAGAGGAATGGGAGGTGCAAGGGAATGCCAGCTGACACTTGGCCATGCTTCCTGAGTGCCCAGCAGCATCCTGTGTGAACCAGCCTGCTCCAGGAGATCAGGACTATCACACGCAGGCAGGACTTTGGAGACATGTGTCTGGACAGGCTGCCCAAGAGTTGTGGACACAGATGAGCTAGGAAGGACAGCTGTGGTTTTAAGTTCAATCCAAAAGTCACCACAGGGAGACCGATGAACATTTCATTTTATGTTTTATAATATTTGATTTATATATTTAATAGAGAGAGACAGAGATATGGAGAGAGATAGCAAGAGAGGGCACGAACGGGGAGGAAAGCGAGAAGCGGGCTCCCCAGTGAGAACAGAGCCAAATTCGAGGCTTGATCCCAGGATCCTGGGTACATCACCTGATCCAAGGCAGATGATTAACCAACTTAGCCACCCAGGTGCCCCAACTCATGACTGTTTTAGTTAATCAATGTCCACTACTAGTTAGGAATAAAATTGGTGAATGGAAAAAATAACTTTCATCATCCAAGATCCCAGTGTTTATGATATTTGGAGGCATAACTTCTCTTTCTACCTGAATTGCAGCAAATATTAGTGGTGGCTTAAATTAAAAAAAATATATACATACAAACATACGATCTTAGATTTTCTGTCAGTTGTTAAAAATGCCTATTTTTAATTATCTTATTTTAGAAAAAGCACATTGCATGCGATGTGGCATCTTAAAATTTTTGAAGTGTAAAGCACAGTAGTTTTTAGCATGTCAACTGCATGATTTCACCCCAAACCACCCCCCCAGTGGAGCCTCATTTATTCCAGGGCACCTGACATGTGGATCAGCACTTCTGTGCTAGAGCCTCAGGATTGGACTTTAGTCCTGTCCCTTATGGAACATGGTCTGCACATTTGTGAGAGTTTCCTGGCATTACTCATTTAATTGTGTAGAGTTGAGAGAAGGGTAACATATTAATATCTACAATTGTTCTTTTTTGCTTAATTATTTATTGAAGTATAGTTGACACAAACTGTTACATTTGTTTAGGTGTACAACATAATGATTCCACAAGTTTATACATTATGCTGTGTTCACCACAAGTCTAGCTACCATTTGAGACCACACAATGCTATTACAACACCATTGATCATATTCCCTATGCACCACTGGTTATTCTTAACATGAATCCACTAGAACTTGTTAGCATGTTAATGCTCTACATATATTTTCATATAAATGGGGTCAGCCCCATTTAGCTAATACAAAAAAAGAATATTTATCTAACATACAAATGGTTAACAGACACATGAAAAAAGTTCATCATCATTAGCCATCAGGGAAATTCAAATGAAAACCACATTGATATACCACCTTACTCCAGTTAGAATGGCAAAAATTGATAGGGCAAGAAACAACAAATGCTGGAGAAGTTATGTGGAAAGGGGAACCCTCTTACACTGTTGGTGGGAATGCAAGTTGGTACAGCCACTTTGGAAAACAGTGTGGTGGTTCCTCAAAAAATTAAAAATAGAGCTACCCTAGGACCCAGCAATTGCACTCCTGGGTATTTACCCCAAAGACATAGATGTAGTGAAATGAAGGGCCATATGCACCGTAATGTTCAAAGCAGCAATGTCTGCAATAGCCAAACTGTGGAAAGAGCCGAGATGCCCTTCAACAGAGGAATGGATAAAGAAGATATGGTCCATATATTCAATGGACTATTACTCAGGCATCAGAAAGGATGACTACCTAACTTTTACATCCACATGGATGGAACTGGAGGAGATTATGTTAAGTGAAATAAGTCAAGCAGAGAAAGTAAATTATCATATGGTTTCAGTTATTTGTGGGACAAAAGGAATAGCATGGCGGACATTAGGAGAAGGAAGGGAAAAATGAAGGCGGTGGGGAAATCAGAGGGAGAGATGAACCATGAGAGACTATGGACTCTGAGAAACAAACAGAGGGTTTTAGAGGGGAAGGAGGTGGGGGAATGGGTTAGCCTGGTGATGGGTATTAAGGAGGGCACATATTGCATGGAGCATGGGGTGTTATACGAAAACAATGGATCATGGATCACTACATCAGAAACTAATGATGTGATGTGTGGTGACTAAAATAACATAATAAAATATTTTTTAAAAAAGCTAAAAAATTAAATAAATAAAAATGACCAATATTCTACATGTTTATTCAAATGAATTATGATTCTCTGGCAAGGAAAAGAAAGGTAAAGTCAGGGTACTGACCTCCAGTAACTCACATCCTCTTGGAAGAAGTAACTATAGAGCAGTGAAGATGGTGGATGAATAGAAAGCAGTGTGTAGAAAGGTTGCTAAGAAAACATCACCGAGGAGACTTTCCCAATTTTGTCAGCTATCACAGAATTAGAGTAGGAAGCAGACTGAATATAAGTCCAAAGAATATTTGTTTTTGTCCTTCAAAAATATAGGCTTTTTGTTGTGCAAAACTTTAAGGACACCAGCTGTCTCCTTCATACATCTTCCTGATTGTCTTCTTCTAGGTGGAAATGAACATCTACAATTTGTGCTGTTTTTTTTTCTCCTCATCACTTTCTTTCATTAACTTCATTAATCTGTCCTCCACCATCAGTCTTCTTTTTCCATTGTCCTATCAATATGTCTTATGGTACCTAGCTATGTGTCCCCCCCTGCCAACACAATATGTAAAACATTCCTTCTAGCATCTTAATCTCAGAAGCAATGAATGAAGACAATTGGTCCTGCTAGCTGTTTTCTTTTTTTTTATTATGTTCAGTTAGCCAGCATATAGTACATCATTAGTTTTTGATGTAGTGTTCAATGATTCATTAGTTGCATATAACACCCAGTGCTCATCACATCACATGCCCTCCTCAGTATCCATTACCTGGTTACCCCATGGAATATGGATGGAACTGGAAGCTATCAGGCTAAATGATATAAATCCATCAGAGAAAGACAGTTATCATATT